AAAGACCTGGTTTTTTCAAGAATGACCCAGGTAATCTATCACTAACCAGCCCATTCCAGCCTTCTTCCAACTAGTACTGTATGCATTACATAGGTCTCCAACTTGAGCTCCTAAAGCCCTTTTCTTTATTCTGGGCCCTATTTCCAAGCTTGTTTCCTAATTGATGTGTTTTCCTGCTGTGTATCTGCACGTGTGGCTGAACTGTTCCATCTCAGCCTCCCAGTCTTTATTTAGATGAATCTCACTGAGATTCAATCAGGCTGATTGCTGGATTACCTGGGAGGATCTGGGTATGCAGTTCTGTGTGTGTCTTCATATTCAGTAGTCCCTGGTATGTCCTGGGAAGCTGGATTTAAATAGATAGTCCTGAGCTTTTCCCTTACCCTATCTACACACACACATACACACACACACATTTTATTTTAATTCTCTTTAATACACAAAGCATTTGTAGAGAAAATATGGTTATGGGTGTTTCTTGGCTCCCTGGTGGGCCCCTTCCCTCCTCCAGGAAGTTCTCCTGGTTCTCTCCTTCATGTTCTGCCTCTTCTGCTTTGGAGCTAGCTATCAAGACAGGGTAGGAAGTGGATGAGAGGCAAGTAAAACTCAAGGCAAGAAGACAAATTCAGAGGTGGTTGCAGTATCCAGACTAGAGATGTTGGCCATATTAGGAAAACAATAGGGTACCAGAGAACTATGTTCATTCCTTACTAAGCCATTACTAACTGGTTGAGCTAGGTAAATTACTTAATCTCTCTGACTTTCTATGTTCTCATCAGTAAAAAGAAAATAATAATTATCTTTTTATAGTATTATAATTTGGGAAAATTTTGCACAAATGTCTTTTGTAAATTAGTGTGCAAAATGCCGTCTTCTCTGGGCATCATTTAAAATTAAGTGGTGCTGTGTTTTTGTCCCCAAGACCCCTGTCCTTGTGGCATTTTCTTGCCCACCAGAGCCCCACTGCCAGTCCCATTTTGTGCCTAACACTGAACGCCTCTCTATTGCAACTCAAGCAGTGAGACATTCTTTTGGTTTGGGGTTGGGCTGGTTTTTATATTATAAACTGGAACCCTAGCTTAAAAATAATACACTCCCTGTTTCTATCCCCTCCCTTCTTGGGTAACAAACACTCAAGTGCTGATGAGTTCTCAGGTCAAGAATCCACAGAGCCAACATGTGCTGAGATAAGCCATTTTGAAGTCTGATTCATATTTTCTTATTTACAAAATGTATGTGGCAAATAAGTGAATGGTGAAGTTGGAACGACCTTAAAGATCATATGGTCTAACTCGCTCATTTTTTACATGGGGAAACCAAGTAACTGGGAAGGAAAGGATTTTGGCCAAGATCACTAAGTAAGTTAGAGACAGAGGCCAGGACGTGGATCCCTCTCACATTGTCCTAGAATGTTATAAGATTTACCATTTCTACACTTTTGGTTACCCTAGAACCATAATGAAAGATACCACATAGCCCACATTGCTGCAGACTAGAGTAAAAGGCATATAGGTGGGGCACGATAATCCAACCATACTTCCATTCATTTATCAAACATGACTAGGAACCACCTTTGTGCCAATTACTAAGGATATTGAGATAAAAGACATGGGCCTCTCCTTCAAGCTATTTAAAATTTAGTGATGAAGACAGACAAGTAAACAATCTCAAGGACGGCTGGCTATTTTCCATACAGTTAAATGAAACATTCCTCCCATCTGCAGACTGCATTCTCTATGTATACTTATGATTGATTGCATTGACTTTCTTCATATATAGAATATGAAACTGGTTTTCCCAAGAAGAAACATGCCAAATACCTCAGACCCCTCATTTATTCATTCTCTCAAAAAACGTTAGTTGGGTACCTACTAGGAGTTGCAAGGACAAATAAATGACAATATTCTCTCTTAAGAAACTAGCAATCCAATAGAGAAACAATGATCATGGAAGCTGCTACAGGAAAGGAGAGATACCTAACAGAATGGGTACCTAAATCTGCCATGGAAAGTCTATGACAGCGTCACAGAGGAGGTGGTATGTGAGCTAAGACTACTTAAAAAGTGGAAGAAGTCTGCTGAGCAAAGAAAGAAGTCATTTTAGGAGAAAAGAATAGCATATGCAGAGCCAAGGAAGTGTGGAAGCATGCAAGTCCTGGAACCTATAATAGTTAATTATCACTGGCATATGAGAAAAGACATATTGGTAGAAAATGAGGATATGAGTAGGCAGGACCTGCGCCATGCTAAGGAGATGGGATTGCATCCTAGAGACTAAGGAGAAGTACTGAGGGTTTTAAGGAACAGATCAGGTGTTAGATTTCAGAAATTCACTCAGGCAGCCAAGCAGAGGATGGCTGGAGTTAGGGAACCCAGTAAAAATTCCCATTGTTAATCCAGGCAAAACTTGATGAATCCTGATGAGGGCAGTAGCAATGCCACTCTGCACCAGACCACAACTGGACTTTCTACATGATCCACCCACTACCAGGCACACCTCAGTGATGATACTCACCGTAACCCATAACCAGGAAGCATGAAGTTATGCATTTGAAAACTAAATTGAAAACCAAAACTATGATTCATGGTCCTAACAATGCTCCCTGTGTGTGTAAGAGACCATCCTCTCCCCAGGCAGCTAGAATGGTTTAACACATCACAAATGATTCATGGAGAATACAAGCTTTCTTGCCCAACAGAGAAGCTGATACGTTGTTGAACTTCTAAAGACACTTGAGGAGGTGGTTTTTAAAAACCTTAAATTCATTTTCCTATCATTAACACAAAGTCACTTCTGAGCTTGTGATTTTGGTAATTCTAAGTCTTTTCCAAACAAGGCAGCCAGACTGGGAAAGTGACTGATTCCTCTTCTGTCTCTTCTAGGCACCAGTTCAGCTCTCTAAAGCCTTTCTGCTTTTGCCTGAAGTGCCTTCCTCCTACCTGCCTGTCTATGGTTGTGCCTTGAAGTCTTGTAGATTCAGGTTCAAATTCCACCTCTGCCTGCCATACATTAACTGTATGATCTTATAAAGTTGCCAGAGTGTTCTGAGCCTCATGAAGCTGCTCTAATCCTTATTGCTTAGTTGTTAGAAATAAAGTTGTGAAGTGTTCCATATAGTGCCTTCTCCATAGCCAACACTGGATATTCTGTAGCTGTTATTGTTAGGTGAGATTATAGTTTAAGAATGAAAGTTTGTTACTGAAAGGAACAAAACGAAGTACTGAAAGATTTGGCAACACATCTTTTGATTATCAGGATAACCATGAATTTGAGTTTTCTGGCATCGATTAAACCTGACACCTGAGAACTCACTTGTTTCTACATCCAGCTGTGGATCCCTACAGTAACTTGTAATTAAGAGATGGTTGCTAATAAGAGATCTGCAACTTGACATTTAGAGCAAAAATAAATAGAGAAACCCCATAACAGAGGGCATAGTTACTGATCCACAGGTTCTTTTTCTGAAACTGAAGAGTTTGGAGGATAAATGGCCCTCTTAATGGTATCCTCTGACCATGTTGTGCGCTGCTGGAATGGTGCTGAGTAGAAATTTTTGTGGAAGTAGCAAGAGTGGTTTGGTTTCATCATAGTGAAAGAATTGTTCAATGTTAGGGCAAGTTACTGACAATGGGTGTGGAATCTGTTTCAGGAGAAGTTAAAAAATAATAACAATAAAGTATGTGATGAGATTACCCCTTCTGGGCTATTGCAAGTGTGGACATGCCTAGAGCCTGGGAGAGAATTTGTCTCAAGCATATTGAAGGACTGAGTCCACTGGGTAAATTCTTCAAAACCTAACTCAGTTTCCTCTAACTAGGTTTTAAAGATTTTCTGACTCTTAATTGTGATGGTCCCTAAATTTTAAACTTGACTTTTTAAATCAACTTGGGGCTAATTTGTTATGTTTTAATTCTGTTGCTATTATTATAAACAACAATAATTTTATTATTATTTATTATAAAACAAAATTACCAGGAAACATTTTTAAAAATTAATCTTAATTTCTATGCACAAATACAACAACTACTTAAATGTTGGAGTATTCTTTTTGGTCTTTGCTTACCTACTAATTTCTTAATTAGCCATCTCAATAAATCTGAAAGAACTTTATTATTATCTGCTTCATTAATAAGAAATTGAAGATAATGCAGTTAATTAATATTGCCCTAAATTACACATATAGTAAGTGACCAAATTAGGAGGAAAATCAGGAATAACTCTAAACCTACTCTGTTCCTCTGTACCCTGCTGTGGTATTGTCCACATAACAAGGTTCTTAATGGATATAGGTAGCATTATTTTATTTTCTATTATTTTTATGTATCATCAGTAATAATAGCAGCCTAGAATCCTATCAACTAAAACTTACCAACTAATTCCTAGAAAAAAATCATCAAGAGTTGATCAACTCTGAAGATAATGCTATAGGAAAGGTCTAAACATGAGAGGAGAAATAAAGAATTAATGTGATGAATATAACAAGCTGTTTTCATTGAGGAAAAACAACTGCAACTTTAGAACTAGGCTGAGATTCTGTAATATGACTGATCAGATTTTCCAAATCACTTTTTAATCATTTAATTATAAAGTATTTTTTATTCTTCTTGTTAATAATCCTATCAAATATCCCTAGGAACTAAATATAGGATTGAATACCTGAGTGACAAGTGGTAATGAATTGTCATTCGTAGTAGAAGAAAAACAGCTTCCATATGCTTTCCATGAATGGCATAAAAGGGAATTGTTGCCTTCCCTTTGGGAGTCAACACCTTATGAAAGATGTCACAGTGAGGAAGAGAGTGAACTCTACAGCCCTTGGACTGTCAGAAAATTCTATTTCACTCATATTTTTTCTAGAATATCAAGTAGAAGGAGACAAACTTGAGGAGATATGGATCAGATATACTGGAGGGAACTGCTCAAAACTCTAGCTTGGTTCTTAATCAAGTTTGAAATGATCACAGTCACAGCACTCATTGCATTAATTTGCCTTTCTTCAGGCAAAATGGGGAAACAGAATAGCAAACTGGCCCCCGAAGTGATGGAGGACCTGGTGAAGAGCACAGAGTTTAACGAGCATGAACTCAAGCAGTGGTACAAAGGATTTCTCAAGGACTGTCCAAGTGGAAGGCTGAATCTAGAGGAATTTCAGCAGCTCTATGTGAAGGTAAGTTGTTTTTCAAGCTTTTTTCTTTTTCTTAGGCCAGAAACTGTTGTTTTCATGAAATGTAGCTTCACATGGAATTATAACTCTAAGTAGCCACTTTGTTTCAACTCTGGTGGTTTTTCAACCAAAAAGGAAAAATGAACATCTTTAAAAATACAAAGGTACATATGTTGTTCCAGATATAAGCAATTTTGAACAAGAAGAATAATTTTTAAACTAAAACACTGAATAGAGTTTAGAGAATGACAGGGACTGGTGAAAGAACCATAAAAATTTCAGCTAATAGTATTTACTGATGATTATTGACAGTCTGTTAATTACAACTTTTGTGTGAATGTGCCTATTAAAGGTATGTGTACCTCTTTCAGTTAAGGAAAAAGTACATGGAAAAAGTACAGTTAAGGAAAAAGTACATGGAAGGTATGTGTACCTCTTTCAGTTAAGGAAAAAGTACATGGAAGAAGATCTTTTTTTGGTGAAAAAGTACATGGAAGGGCTTTTTCACCAAAAAAAGATCTTCTTTTATCTAGAGAAGAACCCAGATTCCCACACCAGCACATTTAGAAGAGGGTTGGGAGGTGTGGTATACATCTGGCCATGGACTCGTAACTTAACATTTTATACTATTTAGAAGCTAGTTTTTCCCTGTACATTAGATAGAACTGTCCCATAAGAAATATAATTTCTACTGCACTGATATTATTTAGTTTGTCTGAGTTTATGAGTTGTGTTGGTTCTAAATTTGGTATGATCTAAAACATGCCATTTTGTTTTCACTTATATACTGTTATATGTGGAAGAAATATATTGTTTTCTTTTAACTTTTTTGACTAAAACACCAAATAGAAAATATCATCTTTATCATTTAATTGTAGCAAATGTCATTTTGAGCAATATGAATCATACAGATGTATATAAGTGTGTGAAATAATTGTATAAAATACTAAGCATTGTCATTATCTCTTGAAGTCAAACATTTTCCATAGCCTATGATCCAGCAATTTCACTTTTGTACTGTACAAGAAGGGGCATGTGTAAGAATGTTCATAGCTCTGGGAAACAACCCAAGTGCCCATCAAAGGGAAAGTGGAAAATAAACTGTGGTATGTTCACACAATAAAATGTTATATAACAGACAAAATGATTGAACTCCAGCAACACTGAAACTTTTTAAAAAGTAAATCTCAAAAGATTTGAAATTAAACACAAATAAAGTAAAAATACACTTTACCCGACTACAAATAAATGCAATAAAATAATATAAAAGGAAAGCAAGGGAATCATGAACACAGGATTCAAACTGATGGCTGTTTTGAGTGGGAAAGACCAGGGTATGGTCATGTGGTTATATATAGATTGTGTTCAAAGTTGTAGAGATTGTTTTGGATGGTGGGTTTGCAGGTGCTTATTATATCTAACCAACCAACCATCTAACCGACTAAATGAATAGTGTGCGTGTTATAACACCACTGTGACATTTCTAAGAAAGCCTGAGTAATCAAATATTAACATGTCAAGATATTTTATACAGAAGTGCTGAGAAATGCATCTTCTATTCAACTGATATCAATTGTTTTTGCAGAGAAGTGGGGTAGTATGCATTTCCTGGTATCCTGGCCTGTAGTTTTCAAAGTCACATCTTCAGCTATTTTATCATTTACATGTTAGCCATGCCTCAGAACGATCTTCAACCTTAACCCCAAGGAAAAAGGTTTACAAATGAGATTTGTCAAAGTCACTTTCATATCACTAAAGGTCATGCAAGTTGTCACCCTGTGATTGAGAGCTCTGTGTGCCAGGTTCCTCACTATTTATTTAAATCAAGAGGAGTTTTGCCTTTGAGGAAATAGTTGAAATGCAGGAAATGAGGTATTCTATTTATGCACTAGAACTATGTAGCACTGAAAAAAGCATCAGCTTCAAGATGAGAAGTCATGTAAACATTACATTTTATTATATAACTGATGTATATGTACAAAAATAATCTCCCATCTCCCCCATCTCACCCTTAGAGTGGGGTTTTTTTGTTGTTGTTCTAGGAAGGGAATATATGGCTTTCTGGACTAGTCTATCTTTTAGGCATCCTCTTATTTTACCCTCTTAACAGCCATATTCAAACTCAGCCTGTGCTCTTATATCAAACAGTCAGAAAGCAGGCAAAGACTTTTATTCCTTCCACAGTTGTCCAATGGCAGAAGTCGAGGGAAAACCACCAAAAAAACATGTCACTTACACAGAAAAAGAAAAGCAGGTCTGATTAGTTAGAAGGGAGAAAGAAGCACGGAGAAAGCTGTGGCTTATGTAATAGGCCCCGAAGACAGACTGATGAGAAAAAAAAAAAAAAACTTACTTGAACACTTATGGAAAATGTAAATATTTAGCAAGACACAGTCATTATCCTGGTGAATGAGCACTGTTCAGTAGTTTCTTCTATTCTTGTGGAGATTGAGACATCCTGGAATGCAGCCAAGGGAGCAAAGCCAACTGTGACCCCTGCCCTCCTGTCTGTGCAGTCAGCCTGGCACATCTACTCTTGCTACCTTACCCATTTCAGGTTACAGGGCGATCACTTTAGCTGCTGTAGAACCAATTCTGATGAAGACTTAGGGAGGAGCAGGATAATTGGAGAGGCTTCTTTGCAAGACCGGAGGTCACAAACTCCCAAACTTTAGAAGTCTTTGCATCCCAAATGTGAAGGAATTCCTTCACTAGATCTATGTTTAAAAACATTTAAAACAGGTTTAGAAGATAGGCTGGGCATGGTGGCTCATGCCTATAATCCCAGCACTTTGGGAGACAGAGACAAGAGGCTTGTCTTAGCCCAGAGGTTTCTATACTGACTGGACAACTTGAAAAGACCTCATCTCTACAACAAATTAAAAATAAAAATAACTGGGTATGGTGGCATGTGCCTGTAGTTCCAGCTACTTGGAAGACTGAGGCAGAAGGATTGTCTGAGCCCAGAAGTTCAAGGCTGTAGTAGCTGTGAGCATGTCACTGTATACTTGCCTGGGCGACAGAGTGAGGCTTTTGACTCCAAAAGAAAGAGAGAGAGAGAGAGAGAGATGGAAGGAAGGAAGGAAGGAAGGAAGGAAGGAAGGAAGGAAGGAAGGAAGGAAGGAAGGAAGGAAGGAAGGAAGGAAGGAAGAAAGAAAGAAAGAAAGAAAGAAAGAAAGAAAGAAAGAAAAAAGAAAGAAAGAAAGAAAAAGAAACTACAGGCAATTTGGCCAGCATCGCAAAGAGCAAAGGCAGGATGGACTTTAGAGACGGAGTTGCTGATTCCCCCTGCATATAGCCTTGCCTCTCAGCCTGATCCCCAAGGCAGCCCATTTTCAAACCCGTCCAGCCATCCACCATGCAGCTACCTGAGTAGGCTCTTAAAAACACATCTGGGTATGGTCAATCCCAGTTAGATGCAGCCTTTACTCTTTAATCATGTAGATCAAAGATACCTCATTTCAATCAAACTCATACCCAGGGGTTAGCACAGAGCCTGCCACACAGCAAGCACCAGGCAGTGTTTCTTGATTGAATATGATACATGCTGACTGTGTACTGCTCAGGAAGACTTGTGGTGAAGGTATACAAAAATGATTTCAGGACAGTCTTGCCTACCCACCAGGATTTCACAGGCAAGTAGGGAAGACACAATTAACCACAATGCAAGCAGAATGACATAAATGCTTGGTGGTGAGGCAAGAGTGAAAAGAAGATAATTAGATTTCAAAATGAATGTGGAAACAAGAAGTGAATTAATGCAGTGATGAGACAAGGACTTTTCTTTTAGCCTTTTAGAAGAATAAATGACCCCTAGTCGACAACCTTTATGTTATCAGCTGAATTGTATCCCCATCAAAATTCATATGTTGAAGTCTTAACCCCTGGTACCTCAGAATGTGAATGTATTTAGAGACAGGACCTTTACAGAGGTAATAAAGTTAAAATGAGGTCATTACAGTGGGCACTAATTCAGTATGACTGGTGTTATTATATGATGAAATTTGGATACAAAAACATACATAGAAAAGACCATGTTAAGACACAGGGAGAAGATGGTCATCCACAAGCCAAGGAGACAAGTATCAAAAGAAACTAACTCTAGCAAAACCTTCTTTTGGACTTCCAGCTCCAGAACTGTGAGAACATAATTTTTTTTTTTTGAGTTAGTCTCACTCCATCGCCCAGGTTGGAGTGCCATGGCACACTCATGGCCACCCCAGCATCGACCTGCTGTGCTCTGGCAATCCTTCCACCTCAGCCTTCCAAGTAGCTGGAACTACAGACACGTGCTACCATGTCCAGCTAATTTTTATTTATTGTAGAGATGAGGTCTTGCCAAGTTGCTCAGGCTGGTCTCGGACCCTTGGGCTCAAGCAATCCTCTCACCTCAGCTTCCCAAAATCCTGGAATTATAGGCATGAGCCACTGCACCCGGCCTCTACTTGGATTTTAATATACATTTGGAGTTTGACTTTCAAGACTGTTTTCATCAGGAGATAAAAATAATCTCATATTGGAAATTATTTTAGGTTGACACAGGTTGAGTTGAAAAGATAGTCACAGGGATAGTTTAAAAAAATAGTGGGATTCGGAATCTGACAATTGTGAAATTTCATCCTAGCTGCATTACATTTGCCACATCTCTGTTTCTCTGAATCTAAACTTTCTAATCTATAAGGTACAAATAATAAGCCTTAACCAGGCAACCTCCTCGGGTCCCCTCCTGCTGTGAGAGCTTTTTTATCCTCTCAATAATCTGCTTTCAAAAAAAAAAAATAAGGCTTATCCTGACACTTCACATGGTGGAGTCCTAGGCAAAAGAAGGAAGTGAAAACGATTCACAGCCTATTACTAGTTGTATTTGCCATCATGATTGATAATATGCTCAGTTATGCTCAGAGAGTCAAGATGGAAATAAGTTTTATTTCACATACCAAGTCCAATGGCAGCATCAAATGGTACACAGATGAGGGTATGAAACCCTAAGAAGGTACAATAGG